AAGTCGCCATCTCAGGAAGCCTTCCTGGGTGGACCGTGCTTGGTTGGCAAGGGGGTCGCCTCATGGTGCGTCTCCATCCAGCACTCGACCTCTGCCTGCACGTCGGTGGCTACTGTGGCTCCCTAGTGCCTGATACAGGACGTAACAGCAGCGGACATGGAATGTCCACCCTATGCCAGGCGTCCCTCCAGACACATCAGCTTCGTGTTACCACGTGAGCCCTCAGACCACCCCACAGAGGGCAGGTTCATTGTGCCCATCTTTTTTTTTCTTTTTTTAAAATTTAACTTTACTTATTTATTTTAATTTAACCAGAGTGAGAGCGAGCGAGAGGGAAAATGAGAAAGCAAGCCACCAGCTCCGCCACTTGAACTGTGGTTGGCCATGTGGGAGTCCAGCGCCCACAACCACCATGCCACCTGCCAGCCCCCATCGTGCCCATCTTATTGGTGAAGAAATTTACGCCCCTGAAAGATTGGGTGATTGTTCCCAAGGTCACACTGTTGATGCGTGGCAGTCAGGAACTGAGCCATCAGTCTTGCTTCAGCCCATGCGCTAATTTTTAATTAAATAATCTTTTCAAATGAAATAATTTTAAAGATTATTTAATTAAATTAAATCAATTTATTATTCTTCTTCAATTTGACCAGAGAGAGACACAGAGAGAGGGAGAGTGAGAAGGCAAGATCTGGAACTCGAACATGGTCGGCCATGCACGAGTCCAGCACCTTAACCACTACACCACCTGTCTGTCTTCAGCCCATGTTCTTAACCTCCACTCTATACTCTCTCTGTATTTTGGGGGCACTGTGTGTGTGTGAGGCTCTGTTCCAGAGGCTTAAATGATTGAATCCTCACGGCAACCCTGGAGGTACAGGTGTGGATATTCCCTCTGTGCACAGTGATATCGTTTGCCCAAGATCGTCAAAATAAGTGGCCTGGACGGGATTTAAACTAGAGTCCTCCTGGTTTCAGAGCCCACCTAACTCTATATCAGACCACTCATATTGCCGTCATGGATTTTCAGCCTAACACAAGTCAGTTTCTGTTAGCCTGGTAACTCCTTGAGCGCAGGGCCTGTGGGAGGTCAGTCCCTGGGTACCGGGCCTGCCTTCACAGGACGTGTCTCAGGAGTGAGAACCACGCCAGTACCGTGGTTAGGTGCCTGTCCTAAATGCAGAAACCTGGTGGAGGGAGTTGGGAAAGCTGCCGATAGTGAGGCAGAGATGGAACGGAGAGGCAGGTGCTCAGTTTAGAAATCATGTAAACGTTCTGCTCCATCACTGACATTGCTTCTCAATCCAAGGAAAAGATGGATAAAGTAGAAGCTAGAGAAAGAAAAGGTGCAGTCCCATTATGAACTCTGCTGCTACCCTATTTTTAAGATCAGAAACGCTGATTATAACCACAGCCTCCCATCACTACACCCTCTTAGGGATTTAGGAGACTCCTTAGCACAGGTTTTGCGGCCCTTGTAGGAAAGCCCAGCAGTCCGTGGTTAGGGCGCCATCTGGAGGCGGCAGGTGGCTCTTTCAACTCTGAGCGTGGGTCAGAATTCATCCTGGAAAGTACATTTCCTGTTGAGTCATTGAAGTCCTGCTTCACAGCTGTTTCACTGCCAACTTCGTGCTTTAATCAGATGATCAGATCAGTAGTCATTGTTTTCTGTTTTAAATTTCGATCCTGCTTTATGTTCGGATAGCCACATTCAATTTGGAGCTCTTTCACTAATCTTAAACATAATCCCTTGTATAAAAGTAGCACCTATGAGGGCCGGCAGGTGGTGTGGTGGTTGAGGCACTGGACCCCCACATGGTTGACCACAGTCCCCTCCCCCATCTCTCCCTGTTTAATTAAAATAGTAAGGATGGTTCTGGTGAATAAAATAAAACAATTTAATTTTTAAAAGTTAAAAAAACCTGAAGCAGCACCTATCAGGGTGGGAGTGAGTGGCTGCGCTCACCCAGGGGAGAGTGAGGCCGGGAAGGTTTTTCTTTTGCTCCCTATGCTTGTTCACACCGGTTAAATGTGCTGAAGGTGGGGGAGTTTGGAGAAAGCGAGGTGCGGTCTGAGCTTGGGCCTTCCAAAGGCGGGTTTATGTTGCTGTGATTTGTCTAAGGGTTATATTTAGCCTGGCCAGACTTCAGCTGTCAGCATGAACAAACCACTCGAGCGCGTTTTCGCACTCTTCAGGACAGCAAGCGTTCTGTCCTCGTGTTCAGAGGAGAGCAGAGCCCAGCCGGACCTCAAACACTACACTCGTCTGATCCCGTTCTCTGTCTCCCGCTAAGCAACCGAACACACACAATTGTTTGTCACCTAAAAGTCCCCACAAAGGAAAATTTTGTTTCTCACTTGTTCCACTGCTACATGTGATTTGTTTTTTTTCCTGGCAAATTCTGATTTTTCATGAGCCAGTTCCTTAAAATGTTCTGTGACGGTAAATTTACTTATTTTAATCTTTGTACATAAGAAGATAATATTTTTAAAGTTTTTTTCATGAGAGATGATGGGAGACGGACAGGTACCCCCAATAGGATCTTCACACCATGATTCACTCCCGGCTTCAACCCAGTTCACACACGGATGTGCCTGGCATGCATAAGGAGGCCTGGGGGCATGAACTGGATACTTTCCCAATTGGCCCAGCATCACAGAGTGCCACGTTACCGCTGTACCACTGTGGCCGGCCCAGAAGATAATTATTTTAAATTTGAACCTTTTCATAAATTGAAATACGGCTTATTGTCTGAGCACCTATAGGGTTCTTGGTGCTTCTCAGCTTACCTGTGAGACAGTCCTTTTCTTCTTAAAGGCCTTTTCTGTTTCTTAACCTTTATTTACTTATTTTTTCCCTTTAGTTTGCTCTAGGGCATGTGCGATTGCCCATGAGAGGTGAGGGAAAAGTGAGAAATCACCCCCCGGGGAATGGCCATGCCACAGTCCCTTCTCCATTCTCCTGGGGTTTTGCGCACACACATGTGCCCAGCTTGTTTCCCAAGCTGCCAGGTCTAGGACTTGAACTGTGCACTCAGCCATGTGGGATGCAGCCACCTTAACCACCAGGGCACCTGGCTGGTCTGCTATAAACAGTCTTTTTTTAAAAAGAATTATTCAATTTTATTTATTATTATTTAATTTGATGAGAGAGAGAGTGAAAACAAGAAAGTAAGCCGCCGGGTCAAGATTGAAAACGCAGTCAGCCATGTGGGAGTCCCTCTCTCTTAACTACCACACCACCTGTCAGCTCCGCTGTAAACGTTCTTATGCATGTTTTCGTATACATTTCTTTTCCTCCTGGGTATATTCCTAAGACTGGAATTGCTGGGTCATAGAACTCCATGTTTAATCCTCTGAAGAACGGCAGACCGTTTTCCACGGTGGTTGCGCCATTTCACATTCCATCAGCAGAGTATGAGGGCTCTGGCTTCTCCACATGCTGCCGCCGCCTGATACCTGTCATTTTATTCCAGCATTCCAGGGGGTGTGAAGTGGTGTTTCGTGGCTTTGATTTGCATTTTTCTGTGGCTGTTAACATCATACCGCTTTTCATGTGCTTATCATCTTTGTAGAAATGTCTGTTTAGGTTCTTTGCTCATTAAAAAAATAGGGTTATTTATCCTCTGGTTTTTTTTTTTTTTTTTTTTTTAATAATTCTAATACTTACCTTTATTTATTTTAATTTGACCAGAGAGGGACAGAGTAAGAGAGAGAGTGAAAGTAAGCTGCCAGGTCTGGGACGTGAACCACAGTTGGCCACGTGGGACGTGGGAGTTCAGCACCCTTAACCACCGTTCTACCTGCCAGCTCCAGTTATTTGTTCTTTGTTGAGTTGCTAGAGTCCTTTATGTTTTCCAGATACAAGTCCTTTATCAGATATGTGATTTACGAATTGTTTTCTTTCATTTTTCGGTTGACATTTCACTTCCTTTGAAGCCCAAGTTTTTAAAAATTTTGATTAGGTCCAATTTATCTGCTTTTTCCTTTGGTAAGATTTTTCTGTATCACATCTTACAAATATTTTTATTTTCCAAATGTAACAGTATAAAAAAAATACGTTTTGAAAACTGCACAGTGGGGCCAGCAGGTGACACAGAGGTTAAGGCGACTGGATCCTACTTGGCAAACTCTGTGGTTTGAGTCCTGGACCCAGCAGCTTGAGAAACACACTGGGCATGTGTACATGCGTGCCCAGAATTCTGAGAGGAGACTGGAGGAGAAAGTGTTGTGGGATGGCTCTTCTCCCTGGGTGATGATTTCTTATTTTATCTCTCTCTCTCTCTCTCTCTGGTAAGTGTGCACGCCCTGTAGCAAAACTAAGACCAACTGTACCAGGCCAGCTCATGGCAGGTTTAAGGTGGCTGGGGCCTACATGGTCAACTGTGCAGTTTGAATCCCAGACCCAGTGGCTTGAAAACCATGCCGGGCGTGTGTGCGTGCATGCCCGGAATCTTAAAAGGAGGGGGAAATGGAAAAGACAGGACTACAGCATGGCCATTCTGCATGGGAGTGGTTTCTCATGCTCTTTTTCTCTGGTGAGCACACACATCCTTTGGCAAAAACTAAACAAACCACCCCCCCCCAAAAAAAAAATCATACCACCCCCTTGAGAACAATGGACTTAGCTAAGGGTTAGCCCCAGTGCTTCTTTTCTTGAGTACTTTAATCATTATGTTTTTCTTTCCTTTCTTTCTTTCTTTCTTTCTTTTTTTTTTTTGCATGCTTCTAACAAGAGTTTTGAACTTAACAAGGTATTTAAATAAAATCCCAACTAACACTAAATAAGAGCTAGGAAGTAACTCTGTGTAGGTGTCATTGGGACTTCGGTGTTTGATGTCACACCTCATTTAGGACGTAAGTGCACACAGTCTCTTCACCGCAGTGTCCTCGTGTGCTCCGTTCACGCCGTGCGAGGCTTCGAACTGGGTGTCACAACGAAGGCGATGACGGTGGGCGATCGCTTCCCAGAGCTCATCCTCGTCTTCCTTTCTTTCCAACAGGTCTGGCAGATCCCAGAAAATGGACTCACCCTCTCCCTGACGGAACCGGTAGTAATCTTAGAAGGCCACTCGAAGAGAGTTGGCATCGTGGCCTGGCACCCGACGGCCCGCAACGTGCTTCTCAGTGCAGGTAGGCGCCGAGCAGTCCTCCCCTGCCTTCCCGCAGCCCTTGGTGTGGGGGAGCGGCCCGTGCGCTGCGACGGTGTCCTGTGCAGGGTTGAAGCAGATTGTCAGGGAACGATTGAAGTGCGGTGCTCCCTCAGATAACACGTGTGTGTAAGGCTACTTTGACATTTGATGAGCGCACGGACTTCCCACTTAGAAAATGAACACATAGATTTCTTTTTGCTTTTAATTTCAGCAGACTCATCATTTCTGCTGAAGTAGCTCCGTAGAATGGTAGAAATGTTCTATATCATTTTATTTTTTATCTTTTTTGCCATAGGGCATGTGCACTAGCCAGAGAGAGAGACAAAGACGGGGGAAAGTGAGAAATCACCCCAGGGGGATTGGCCATGCCACAATCTCTTCCTCTCCTCTTCCCCCCGGGATTATTTCATTTTATTTTATTTTTTTTGGGAGAGGTTTTTGCTATGGGGCACGTGCGCTCGCCAGACAGAGAGAGAGAGAGACATAGAGACAGAAAGTGAGAAATCACCCCCCAGGGGGGATGGTCATGCCGCAATCCCTTCTCCTCCATTCTCCTCTTGGGATCTTGGGCATGCACGCACACGCATCTGGTGTGAGTTTTAAGCCACCGGTCTGGGACGAGAGCCATGGTCGACTACGTGGGAGTCCAGCGACATAGCCATCATCCTAACTGCTGGTCCCCCTACCCCCACCCCCGGGATTTTCAGTGTGATTTGAAAGCTGCCAGGTCTGGGAGTCAAACTGTGGTTGGTCGTGTGGGAGTCCAGCACCTTAACTACCATGCCAGCTGCTGGCCCCAGTGTCTTGTATCTTGATTGTGGTAGTGGCTACACGAGTGTATGCATTTGTAGAACTTACTGAATGTGTTAAGTGGATATATCATTTGGGATATAAATTGCACCTTAATAAAATTGGTTTATTTAAAAAAACCCAAAAAAACAAAAACCAATACTGGGCCAGCCTGTGGACTGGTGATTAAGGCGGCATGATCCCACTTGACCAACCTGGCCCTTGAGAAACATGCTGGGTGCATGAACATGCCCAGAATCCTGAAAGGAGGGAGAGATGAGGGAGAAGAGACTGCACCCCATGGGGGCAGGGGCTGCTTTTTTCCTCTCTGCCTGTCTCTCTCTCTCTCTCTCTCTCTCTGGCGAGTATACTCACCCTGTGGCAAAGTTCAATAAACTACTAAAACCAAAGTCCACTTTTCAAAGAGGACACCATGTAGGAAACAGTTCATTGCCATTGACTGTATTTGGGAATTCTTCTGTTCTGCTCAGAACTTCGGTCTGGTAAGGAGAGAAAAAATTCCAGAGGTGGAATTTCATCATGGAAAATTTTCTGCCACCCTCATCATTTAGGGCAAACATAGGGTGTCTTCTGCAGATGAATCCTCATTCTCCTCCCTTGTCCCCATGAAGGAGACTGGCCAATTGTGAGGCTCTGCATATTTTAAGACTATATGATCCATCGGCAGTGGTCGAAGCTACTGATTACCTGTGAAAAACAGGTGGAGGAAGACTTAGGTCCCCACCCAGAGTTTAGCTTCAACTCCACGTACTAGGGGGCAGTCTGTTTTCTTCCCTCCTTCCTTCCCCCTTTCTTCCTTCCTGTCCTTTCCTATCTTTGTGTCTTTCTTTCCTTCTGCTTTTTTGTCTTTTCTTTTTGTCTTTTTCTGTCTGTGTTTCTGTCTTTGTGCTTTCTTTCTGCCTTTATTTTTTCTCTTTCTGTCTTTTGTCTTTCTGTAGTTCTTTCTGTCTTTCCTTCTGTGTTTTTCTTCTTTCTGTCTCCTTCCCTCCTTCCCCCTTTTCTTCCTTTCTCTTTAGAGCACATATGCACCCACCACAGAGAGACAGAGAGATAAAGAGAGAAAGTGAGAAAGCATCCCTCTGGGTGGAGGGCCATGCCCTAGTCCCTTCTCCTCTTGGGATTTTGGGCACATGTGCACATGTACCTGGTGTGCGTTTTTCAAGCCACCAGGTCTGGGACTTGAACCGTGCAGCCATATGGGATCAGCTCCCCTTGGCTCTCCTTTTTTCTCTACTGCCCCTCCCTCCCATTTTTCTACTTCTTACTCTTTGCTAACTTAGTGTCCTGGGTTTGGCTTCTTTTTCTAAAGTGCTCACAAAATTGTGTTATTGACAAGAGTACACCTTTAGGATGTCCTCTTACTTTGCTTCATTCTTGAGCTAATGCCTTGGCAGCGACAGATGGTGCCTCTTTTTAAAGGGGGCTTGGGACAGACCCTTGAAAGAAGGATGGTACTGGAGTTGTTGAATGGAGGGGTTGTAGCTCGGTCCACATCGTGGGCCTCTTTGGGCATCAGTTTCTGAATCCCTGTACCGACTCAGTTAGGGTTTGGGCTTCTCACCACTATCAGACCAGGCGTGGCCTAGTTTTCTCCCCTTTTAAAGCTGTAAGATCTATTGTGTGCAAACAGGCTAGCCTTTGCATTTCCCTTCCATTTGTTGTGATTTACCACAACTTGATGTAGTACCAGGGCGGTGCTTTACAGCATCGCTGATTCAGATATCCTATTTCCACATTTTCTGTTGGTTGCCCCAGACAGTTATTTACACCTTTCATTTTTTGTTCCTTTGGAAAAGAAATAGCTGCATTTATTCTGATCCTTATTTAAGTAGCAAAGGAACTTTGAAATCACTTCGGGTCTACCAGTTCAGTTTACTCTGTTAAAAAAGAATCAATAGGATTCTGTTGTGGTATAGTTTGTTATTTTGGTATGGTTGGTTGTTTCATGTAAACCTCACCTTAAGCCATGTCTTTTTTTTTTTTTTTAAGAGATTTTTGCTATAGGGCATGTGTGCTTGCCAGAGAGACAGAAAGATAGAAAGCGAGAAATCACCCTGCAGGGGGATGGCCACGCCGCAATACCTTCTCCTCCATTCTCCTCTCAGGATTTTGGGCATGCACGCACCCAGCATGAGTTGTAAGCCGCTGAATCTGGGACTCAAACTGCAGTTGACTACGTGGGTGTCCAGCGATGTAACCATTATGCCATCTGTTGTCCCAAGCTGTGTCTTTTTGTAACTTTTTTTCTTTTTTTAAAATAATTATTTTATTTATCTTTATTTATATATTTACTTATTTATTTTTAATTTGACCAGCAAGGGACAGAGTGAGAAAGGGAAAGTAAGAAAGCAAGCCACCAGGTCCAGGACTTAAACTGTGGTCACCCATGTGACCTTAACCACTATGCTACCAGCTGGCCCCAGTAACTTTTTTTTTTTTTTTTTTTTTTAAGAGAAATTTTGTCACAGGACACATATGCTCCTCTGTCTTGAGACAGACAGAAAGTAAGAAATCACTCCCCAGGGGTGATGGCCGTGCTGCAATTTCTTCTCCATTCGCCTCTTGGGATTTTGGGCATGCACGCACATGTGCCTGGCTTGAGTTTAAGCCATCAGGTCTGGGACTCAAACTGGGGTTGACTGCATGGAAGTCCAGTGACATAACCATTATGCCATCTGCTCATTCCTTTTTGTAGCATTTTTACAAGAGATCTTCAAAAAGTTAATGAAGGGACCAGCAGTTAGCGTAATGGCTATGTCGCTGGACTCCCATGTAGTCGACCACAGTTCGAGTCCCGGACCCGGTGGCTTAAAACTCATGCCGGGCGCATGTGCGTGCGTGTCCAAGATCCCGAGAGGAGAATGGAGGAGAAGGGATTGTGGTGTGGCCATCCCCCCTGGGGGGTGATTTCTCGCTTTCTGTCTCTGTGTCTCTCTCTGTCTGGCGAGCGCATATGCCCTATGGCAAAAAACCTTGCCAAAAAAAAAAAAGTTAATGAAGAAATGTATATTATGAGAAAGCTGCTTGAATTTCAAATTTTGGGGGCAAAGCAAACTTACACCTTGTTTTTTAAAATAAACTTGTGCTTTTAAATACCTTTTTCTTTTACACAGCTCTTTTTGTCATTTTAACTTTTAACTCCCAGTAAGTAGAGGCTCTGAATCTTCACCTCTCTTTCTACGCTCTGTGTGTGTGTGTGTGTGTGTGTGTGTGTGTGTGTGTGCGCGCGCGCGCGTGTAATATCCTCAGTGTATCTGTAGTTCTCGTGCATGCGTTATTCAGGTGTTTGTAATCTGAGGGTGTGGTGTGCTTATTATAGGCTGTGATAATGCCATCATCATCTGGAACGTGGGGACAGGGGAAGCCCTTATCAATTTGGATGATATGCATTCAGACATGATTTACAATGTCAGCTGGAACCGGAATGGCAGCCTGATCTGCACAGCTTCCAAAGACAAGAAAGTGAGAGTAATTGATCCCCGGAAACAGGAGATTGTCGCGGTGAGTATTCTTAGGACAAAATCCCAGTGGTGGTAGCACTCAGCGAGTGTGAACTGTCTGCTCTATAAGGCCGACAGCAGTGCGGTCAGTGGGCCTTCGCTGTGTGCGCACACCAGGCGTTTTTTTCCTTAACAAGGAGGGGCCGAGCAGGCTCTGACGCTCCCTGACATGCTTCTCTCCAGAGCTGTACATTCCTACCTTTTTTTGCTATCAGGCTCGTGTGCTTGCCAGAGAGAGGGAAAGTAAGAGTCACCTCCTGGCGGGTGGTCATGCAGCCAAACCCCCATCTCCATTATCCTCTCAGGATTTTAGGCACATGCACATGCACATGCACCTGGTGTGTGTTTCAAGCCACGCAGTCAGCCCTGTGAGACTCAGCACCTTCTCCTCCACACCACCTGCTGGCTCCATGTCCACCTTTACTCAGATCTCTCACTTGGTAGCCTTTTTCACAAAGAAATAAGTTGTATCAGTTCACTGGAGTCTTAAGAGTTTACAAATTTGGATCAGATGACCAGTCAGTGGCTTTTCTGAATATTGATGAATTGATCCCCTGCTTTCTTCCAAAAACAGTTGTTAAAGTACTTTATAGAGATGCAGCAGGTTCAGCTCAGAGTCTGTTTCTGCTTCCCAAACCGGTCCTCCACAAAATCCCATCTCCCCACAAAACATGGACTTCAGGGTCTTTAGTCAGGTTAAAACCGCAAGTGTTGAGTTAAAGATTGCCTCACGTCACCTGCACTCTGAGGCCTGAGAGATGGCTGTTCTTTGCCAGAGTTTCTCCTGAAGGGTCATGGCTGGTGCTTACTGAGCTCTGGGGTCTTTCCCGGCCCCTGCACAGTAAGTACTTTCTCCACCCAGAATCTCCCAAGGGTTGGTATAGGGTACTCATGTCAGACAGATGAGGTTAGGAAGGGACCAACCGGACTAGGCTTCTTTCAGTCCTATGTGGTAGTGAGAGGAATTGCAGGGCATGTCCAGCCCTCAGGTTAGTATCCTCTTGAGAAAGAAACATGTGTACAGTTGGTCACGTTACTTGTGCAGTGCACAGACACGGCTTGGCAGCAGGATGGTGGGAGGAGCGAGGCTTTTTATTTTTTAGTTACTACGGGATGTGTGTGCTTGCTGGAGAGAGAGAGAGAGGGAACAGGGGATGTGAGAAAACACCTCATAGGGAGGATGGCCTTGTTGCAGTCCCTTCTCCTCTAAATCAATCTCGGAATTTTGGACATGCACACACATGTGCCTGGTATATTTTTCAAACTTCTAGGTCTAGGATTTGAACTGCATAACTGACCATGTGGGATCCAGCCTCCTCAACCACTGCACTACTGTTTGGCCCCAGGAGTGATGCTTTTGAGTTCTTTCTTGCTAACTAGCTGAGGGACTCTAACCACATGGATTGCTTAGTCTCTCTCTGTCCCCCACCTCCTGTGAACGTGAAGGGCGTGTGGGGTGAGGTTGGGTTCACTGTGTGAGTTTTCCCCCACTCACTCTTCTTCCATACAGCTCAAACACGTGCCATGTGCCTCTTTGTCCTCTCTCCCAGGAGAAGGAGAAAGCACACGAAGGAGCAAGACCCATGAGAGCCATCTTCCTGGCCGACGGCAATGTCTTCACCACTGGTTTCAGCCGCATGAGTGAGCGGCAGCTGGCCCTCTGGAACCCGGTAGGCCCCTCCGCAGCCTTTCCACTTGCTTTCACTTGGGCTTTCTCTGTTCTGAGGGGGTCTTTGGCTTGGTAAGTAGATTATAGATGCTAGAGTAATTCCCTGAACTTAAATTGGATGTGATGCCCTCTTCCTCAGCAGAGATACCAGTCAATGTATTTCTAAAATGCATTCTTTTCTTAGAAGAGATATTCTTTGCTATATGGCTTGTGCACTCACCAGAGAGACAGAAAGCAAGAAAGGGGGGATGGTCACACTGCAATCCCTTCTCCTCTACCTCCTCTTGGGATCTTGGGCACACATGCACATGTGCCAAGCGTAAGTTTTAAGCTGCCGGGTCTGGGACTCAAACTGTGGTTGACTCCGTGAGAGTCTAGTGATGTAACCATTATGCCATCTACTGGTCTCATAAAATACATTCTTAATACTCCTGAGGAGTCTATATTGATTATATTATTTTTTAAAAAGTACGAAGAATCCAGTGTCTTAAATTTGGGAAATACATTCTTTTCTTAAAAAAATTGTTTTTATTTATTGTTATTATTTTTAAATTTGCTATAGATACCTTATATGCTATGTGTTCACCAGAGAGTGACAGAGAGACAAAGAGAGAGAGCAAGCTTCCAGGTTTGGGACTTGAACCATTTTCAGCCATGTAGGTGTCCAGCACCCTACATCATGCCATCTGCTGGTCCCAGGAAATACATTCTAAATTGAGTTATATAAGTAGGTAAAAAATTTTTTTAACTTTATCTTTTCTATGAGAGAGAGAAAAAAAGAGGCAGACACCCAACAGGGTCCTCCAGCCGCAATACACCCATCTTAGCTAGCTTGAATCATGGGCACGTGTATGCTTGGCGTTCTCAGAGAGGTCCCAGGATGCTAACCCAGGACCTTTCATGTTGCCACTGCACCGCTACCTGGCCCTGTAAACTGAGTTAGATTTTATAAAGAATATGATGAGAGCAGGGCTTGTGGCACAGTGCTCAAGTGCTGCACAGAGGAAGCCTGATCCCCTGGGGCTGACCAGAGTTTAAGCCCTGATGGCAGTGGCTTGAAAGAAACATGCTTGGCATGTGTATACCATGACCCTGGTGGGATGGAGAACTGGAGGAATAAAGATTGCATCATGGGCCAGCAGGTGGCTTGGTAGTTAAGATACTGGACTCCCACATGGCTGACCGTGGTTCGAGTCCGAGACTAGGTGGCTTGCTTTCCTATCTTCTCTCTCTCTCTTTCAATTAAAAAAAATAATGTTAATAACAAATAAAATGAAATAATTTTTTAAAAAATAAAAGATTGCAGCATGACCTGTTGGGTGCACTTATTGGCACGCTGACTCTCTCTCTCTCTCTTCTTCACATGCCCCTTCACAAGCATGCACCCTCTGCTATCAAAAAAATAAAAAGATCAAGTGTCTAAATAAAATACTCATGCTTGGGGAAATGTTCGTAATTTGCTGAGTGGGGGGAAACTGACTAAACTGTATGTGTGTTACGATCCCAGTCTGTGAGCGTATGTGCATCGGAGGGAGAGAGACCAAAATGATAGTGGTCTTTGCCACTCACTGGACTGTGAGCTGTGGAGTATGGGTGACCAATCATCATGGTTTTTTTCACCTCTTTTTTAAAAAATCTCACATGTTTATTTTATAGAGAAAAAAGAAATTTAAAAATAGAAAATAGTGGACCAGTAGAGGGAGCCAGGTCCCACATTGGAATCCTGGCCCTAATAGCTCGAAAAACTCTCCAGAAAAGCTCCACATTCCTAACGGAATGGAGGAAAGGGATTGCAGCATGACCAGGCCTCACCGGGGCTCTTTTTCTCTCTCTGGTACATGCATGTACCCATTTGCATATTTTTTTATAAAAAGAAAAGCGAAAAAAAAAAAAAAGAAAAGCGGAGAAGGGCTCTGTGATCTTTGTTGTGGAATCACACCACTGTATGTATTAATTATGTTGTCAAATCAACACCCTTTTCAGGAGGTTCGATCCTGCTTAGTATCTCTGCTGGTACTTAACATGTTATTCTAGAAAAGGGCTCGTTTAATTAGGATAGAAGAATATGTAGTAGGGTTGGAAAAATTCATCTTAAAAAATGTATAAAATCATGTATGTGTGTATGTTTGTATATATATTTTTTGTTTTTGTTTCCTTCAGAGAAATATGCAGGAGCCAATTGCTCTTCATGAAATGGACACTAGCAATGGGGTGTTGCTGCCTTTCTATGATCCCGACACCAGTATCATTTACTTATGTGGGAAGGTAAGCAGTCATTTTGATGTTTGATATTTCAATTTAATCTTACAAAAGAAAAAAGTTAATTTTTAATTTTTTTTTTTAAATTGTATGTGTCTTAAGCTAAAAACAAACTTTTGGCCCTAACATTTTTGTCCTAAGATATTTTAGATTCTTGAGACTGGACTGTGTAACGGAGGTGGGGAAATAACATGGCATGTTCAGTACTTTTGCCGAAAGCAGGAATTGGGCTGGGGAGTCGGCTAGTGCCTACAGGGAAACCTTCACACAGTGCCCTCTAGTGAGGAAAAGAGGACCTGCTGGTGTGTTGTGTTCACCTAGTTTTCTGCCTGATCAGTGATTTTAGATTAATCTGTACCAGCATTAGGCGGAGGGACAAGTTGACCACATCTGTGATCTATTAGATAGCTCTAGAGTAGCCTGCATTCACTTAGAGCTACATGTCATGGGCTTGTAAAGAGGATAGTTCTTTGTGGGTATGAACTTCTGATGGCCTTAGAGACTAATGCTTCTTGTTCCTGGGGTTCAAGATAGGGCCCTGGTCTTGAAGGCATGCTGTCAGGGCTGCCAGGCGCTACAGAAAGGCTCCCCGCTGAACTCCAAAGCCCCCTCCTTCCCTTGTTGTCTCAGCTGAACTTCCCTGTCCTGGCTTTGTTGTTATTTCACCTTTGTAGGTGGTAGCCTCAAAGGTCCTTATTCTCTTGTAGATTCCCTTTTCTTTAGAACCTTTTGTAGTTGGGATAAATGAATGAATATAAACAGAGCTCTTGATTCCCCCAAACCTGTTCGCTTGGCCCTTGCTGGATGCAGCGGGTGAGTCTCACTTTCCATAGTTGATTGGGCAGGCCACAGATCTGCTGGTACAGTTTATGGGTCATTTCCTCCCAAATTGCGATCTTATCTGTTTCCTCGAAAGTCATCGTGTTGCAGATGTTAACAGCCGGTACGTACACACACTTCACCATAGCATCAAAACAAACAAAGTGAACAAGTTACTCAGCAATTATTAACATGGGTGGAAAACTGGGGTATGCTGACAATGACCAGTACACGTTTAGCTTCTCTTCCATCGCCTTAGGTGCCCAAATCACCGGGACAAGTGGAAGTCGTGGGAACTGAGAGCATGGTTAGGGCGTAATCCCGCCTGCATAACCCCTCCTCTTACCAGACAGGATTGCCTTCACTGTTCAGGCTGGTGTGACTGTGCGACAGTTATTTCCACGGAGACTAGCAGAGGTCTCGCGTCTTCCAAACACCTGACCATTCTAAGTAAGGTCGTTGTAGAACTTCACACATTGCAGTGTAGCAGCACTACTTCAAGGATGCTCATAAAAACCAAGGTTCTCATCCTGAATAATCTCAGGTAGTCATGCTCCAAGTGCCCGGTGTTGGTGCCCTCGGATCTGTGAATGACTCTCTGCAGAGCCAGCGTGAACACTTGCATTGGTAATTGCACGTGTGATGATCCTCCGGGTCATTGTTTGAGGTTGAATTGCACTCCAGCTCTTGGCAGAGGTGGTAACATTTTTTTCCCAGTCATAACCTGCTGGATAGGGCCAGGAAAACGAGATGAGAGCCCTCCGTAGTAGGCCGCTTAAAGGGCATGCGGCACTTTGGTAAGTGAGGGCTTACTTGAGGGGAAAAGAAATGGTCAGGTACTGCTGGCAAGCCTCTTTATGAAGAAGGAGAAGTCAGCTAGCAACGCAGGGCCCCAGGTGATGCTGCGTTTCTAGCGGAGAGGGAGACCCCCACTTGAACCGGTTATTTCAGTTAGCATTACTCAGTCCTGTCTCTGATCTCTTGTAGGGTGACAGCAGTATCCGCTACTTTGAGATCACGGATGAATCCCCGTATGTCCACTACCTCAACACGTTCAGCAGCAAGGAACCTCAGAGAGGGATGGGATACATGCCCAAGCGGGGGCTCGATGTTAACAAATGTGAGATCGCCAGGTAAAGAACAATACTGTGAAGGGTTCTGATTGTTTCTGCCATCCCTCTAGGCCCAGCGCAGCCCACTGCAGGTCGTTCCGGAATGCCTGTCTCTCCACCCTCGTGTGCGGTGTGGAATTACTATCTCGTTTCCTGCCCCAAAACTTAACACGTAGCCTTACACGGCGTAGCTGGGCTGTCCTGCTCACCTGCTGAGAGGCCTTCACCTCTCGTCTTCAGCTGAGGCTGTGACCAGTGTTCCCTGGGAGACCAGCAGGAGAGCCTGTCCCTGGGCGGGAGGAGGTGTCTTTCCTGCCCTGCAGAGGGGGAAGAACCAGGTTCCAAACTGGATTGTGGACCCTGCTGGTCCTAAACTAGAAAAGCCAAAGATCCTGCAGTGGGATGTTCAGTTAGCTTGGTTTAGGAGGCTTAGCTATTATGTGTAGTTGCTGCTTCTCTATAAAGAATTCTTGTCTTTAAAAATAAAAGCAAAAGAACTTTTTAGGAACCCTCTTTTATATTTTATATTAATCACTGTGGATTTTAGGCTTTTTTAAATAGCTGAAGTTGGGACCAGCAGTTAGCCGAATGGCTATGTTGCTGAACTCCCATGTAGTCGACTGCAGTTCGAGTCCTGGACCTGGTGGCTTAAACTCACATCGGGCATGTGTGCGTGTGTGCCCCAGAGCCCGAGAGGAGAATGGAGGAGAAAGGATTGTGATGTGGCCATCCCCCTTGGAGGGTGATTTCTCGCTTTCTGTCCCTCTGTCTCTCTCTGTTCTTCTGGTGAGTGCATGCTCCCTATAGCAAAAACCTCTCTAAAAAAAAAAAACTAGCTGAAGTTCATGAAGCTGTCATGAATAATTTTAAATTGTAGGTTAAACCAAACTAATGAAAATATGGGTCAAAACAGATTGAATCTGAACTTAAAGTTACATCCAGCATTTGTAAACACATCTATTTCACTGTCCTCTGCAAATTTAAAAGACAAAGGGCCGGCTCCAGCTCTGTGGAACAGCAGTAACGCACTGTTTAAGGGAAGCTGGAGCCCACGTGGTGACTGCAGTTCAGGTCCCAGCCCAGTCAGCCTGAAGTACGTCGATTTTGGGCACGAGGTACCCAGGATCCAGTGAACTAGAAGGGGATCATGGCATGACCGGACCCTGTGGAGAGTCCTCTTCTCTCTCTTATTCACCCCCTTTTTCTCTCACTCATGCGTGTGCACACACTCTGTCATGGGGGAAAAGACTGTATAGGCACAGTCATCCCGGTGCCTTCCTTGTTCGCTAAGCGTTTACTGTATGTTGGGCACCGTGCTAAATACGCTACATGGGGTACCTCTTTTACGTCCCCTCCTATAAGGGAGGTGTCACCTCATCCCCATTTTCTGAGTGAAGAGACTGAGGCTTGGTGAAGTTCTCACACCCTCAGGGGTGGTAGCAGAGCTGGAAGTCAGCCTGGCCAACTGTGTGCATCTCGCAGCAGAACTCACTGGCAGCACCAGAAACTGCGATGATGTCTCCTCCTCTCCTCTCCTCTCCTCTCCCCTCCCCTCCTCTCCCCTCCCCTCCCCTCCCCTTCCCTCCCCTTCCCTTCCCTCTTCTTTTTAACTGCCAGAGGGTATGTGTGCTCCACAGAGAGAGATGGAGAGACTTGGAGGCAGGCGTTGGGAGGAGAAGGCACCCCCAGTGGGGTGTGGTTGCCACTTTGCTGACTGATAATGATTCGGTTAACCACTGTGCTGACTGCAGTTCTCAGTAGCTTCATCTTTAAGAATGTTTTGGTGTATTACTGACTCTTTGGCGCTTTGACACTTCCGTTCCTTTAAAAATGACTGCTTTTACAAACACCTCACCCCAGCTAGAGCTACACTCAGCTTTTGTTTCCCTGACGCACTGGAGCAACATCGCTGGCCTCCAGGCTCCGGAAGAAACCCTGGCTTCTGATATCTGAGACGGCAGGAATTCCTCTGAAATCTAGAGTCCGCTTGCCCAGCAGCACTTAGACCCTTGCTTAATCCCCTCCCTGCACACAGCCCGTTGCAGCTGGCGATCTGGCCAGAATGCTCACTCATGCTACCTTTCTTGTAAGAACTTTGGAGAGAATTTTTGATCGTTCCCTTCCTAACGGAAATGTAATAGGTTTGGGACTGCCCTGACCGTATAGTGGTCGGGGAATTTGAACTGCAGTTCAAATCCGAGTTCCGAGGGCTTAAAAAACATACTGGGTCTGTGTGCCAGTGTGCCCCAGGTCCGATAGGATGAAGAAATGGAGAAGGGATTGTGGTTTGATCACACTCTACTGAGGGGTGCTTTCTCTCTCTCTCCCTCCCCACCCGCCGTCTCTTCGGCAAGTGCACATACTCCTTGGCAATTAAGAAAAAGAATCTGTTTGATCTTACTGAAGCCAGAAGAAGTAGCTCTGGGTCTATGTCACTTTATCCTCCTGTCGAATGCAGAGTATGCTGACCTTGCCTTCGCTCAGTCAGAACTAGTTCCCCTCTTCTGTATGACGCAGGTTGTCCCCGCTCTCCACAGTCGGGGTCATTTCCAGTGTTCCTTGAAGGTTATCATGATGTGCCCAAATCCTAATCCGTAGGGTTATTTCTTTTCCTTTTTAAAATCATATTTATTTATTAATGCCCCACCACCTCAAGTTGGCAGCAGACCTGGGGCCCGGGTGGTAGATCCTGTCTGATGTGGAGGGTGTGTTTTCCTTCCTGCCTGGCGACGCGGTGTTTTTCCACAAGTGCATCATCATCGGGGTGGTTACCACCCCCACCCCAGTCTGTTTGCCCCCACATAATTGGAGCTTGACCGTCATCAGTGTGCCAAGACCTCTGTTCATGGGTCTTGCCTCCAGCCTGCCGTTGCCAGACAGAGTTCCTCCCGGCTTTGATTTCTCACCTGGGAAAGGGAGCACCACGTTGTGTCCACTCCCGGGGTGGGCCAGATGAAGGGACAGAGAAGCACTTCCTGTCCCCTACTGTACTGCAGAAAAGCAGCCCCCCGTCCCGTTGCTCGGCAGTGTGCTTCACTTAGCAACCTTGCCTTTGTTTTCCCTTTGAAGATTCTTCAAGCTTCATGAGCGAAAGTGTGAGCCTATTATCATGACTGTGCCCAGGAAGGTGAGTGCCCAGTTTTCTATACAATCCATGTTTTTTTAAAAAATTAAAATTTAAAAAATTAAAAATTCCAGGCCTTTTCTTCATTCTTACTGAAGCATTTCTCCCAAATGTCTCCCATAGTCTGACCTTTTTCAAGATGACCTGTATCCTGACACGGCGGGGCCAGAAGCCGCACTGGAGGCAGAAGAGTGGTTTGAAGGGAAGAATGCAGATCCGATCCTCATCTCCTTGAAGCACGGATACATTCCAGGCAAAAACAGGGACCTCAAGGTGGTCAAGAAGAACATTCTGGATAGCAAGCCTGCTGCAAACAAGAAGTGCGACCTGGTCAGCGTCCCCAAGAAGACCACAGACACGGCCAGTGTGGTAAGGACCGCGGGAGCTTGAGGGGCGTGCTTGGCTGGCTCATACCTTGTCCTCTGGGATGTCCTGGGCATCAACAAGTGCTGTCCAGCTGTGGACGGAATGGTACCATACGCTACTGTGTGTAAGAGGGACGGGCACAGGACGCTGCTGAGGTTGTGGTCATTCACGCTTGGCTCCTTTAGCTCCGTTCTTCATGGTGAACATGGGTGTCGGGTCACCGCGCCTCCGAGAGTGAACAGGAGCCCCTTGGGCTTCCCCTGTCTTTTGCTAAACTGGTTCAACCCATCTGTGGTTTGGGTAGAACTGAAACAACATGGGAGTGTGGGGTCACAGGCACCCAAGAGAGAACATCCCTGAAAGGAGTGGTGTCAGTGTTCAGAGGTTGCCAGGTGGTCTGGTGACAGAAGGATCTGGCAGTGTATCTGGCTGGCAGCAAAGATGATCTGGGCGAGAGAGCCTTTTTGTGGCAGAGCAGGGACCCAAGTCTGCCACTGGAGACTCTGGTGGCCACTGGGGGGTGCTGCTGCAGCTGGGAGAGCCTGTCCTCAGGCAGAGGTGGGGGGGTGGGGCGGGCTGTGAGTGGGAGCTCTTTGGGGCCGAAGGGAAGGTAGTGGATTATCCGTGAATGGGTGGGGAAGCAGAATGATGAGTTGTGGTGCCCAGGGGAGCTGAAGTTTGGAGCCGTGACCCAGGAAGCCACATGAGGCACCATGGGCTTAGGTGACTGCAAGGTTTCTGGAAAAAATTGGCTCCACCAGGAGAGGCTCCGGCCTCCTTAGAAGAGTTGGCAGGCTAGGCAAGGGAGTTCACTTCCAGGGAGAATCCTCCCTAGCAGGCGATGGGTCCTATAGCCTCCAGAAGGACTCTCCCCTCACTCTGGTCCCATGCAGGCTACCCTTGGGGTGATTGGGGCAGTTGGGATGTAGGGCAGCCTCAGAGGAATCCATCTTGCCCTACAGTTTCATTGTCACTCCTGAGAGTCTGGGTGAGCGCACAAGCCTGGGGACCAGCAGTAGCGCTGCGGTCCGCTGCCATTCCACGATGTTCCCAGTGGACGCATCAGTGCTGATCAGGCGCTCAGAGGGCTGCTTAGATGAGATCAGGCTTGACTTCTGTCCCAACCTGGTGATGACGACTTGCCACGCGCAAAGCAGACAATTCTATTGTATGTCTTCTAAATTCTGAATGTATTGAACTTTGTTTTCCATTTTTTTCTTAGTCATCAGCCCCTATTTTGTTTGTTTTCTTAGCAAAATGAAGCCAAGCTGGATGAGATTTTGAAAGAGATCAAATCTATAAAAGACACAATCTGCAATCAAGATGAACGTATTTCCAAGTTAGAACAGCAGATGGCGAAGATCGCGGCCTGAAGGTCCCACCCCACCCCTCCGAAAAATGGGAGCAAGAACTTGCGCTTGGGAGCTGGTTGTTGGCGTGGTCCTGGGGAGGGCGGAAAAGGGAGGCACTGCCATTTTGGAGACATTCCATTTCAGGTTTGTCAGCCAGCGATAGGCCGCATTCCAGTAACGGCCCAATTGGTCTCCCAAATTTGCAGAAACAAAAACGCGTTTAAAAGCTGAGCTTTGAATCAGAAAGCTTTTTTGATGTTTTAAGTGTTATGTGACTTGTTGAACTTTTAAAAAGACAAAAGTGCTTTTAAAAATCCCAGATATTCTGAATTTTAGAAAACAGACCAATTCTGATTCAGTGTCATGCCCGAGAACCTTTTTTTTTAAAAAAAAAAACAAAACAAAACAAATAGGGACCAATGCCACATTGCTTTTTTATATTTCTTTTTTAATGTTGCCAAAACCAAAAGTAGCTTTTTTTTCTTTGTATTTTGCTACTTTGCAGTATTTTGTGTGTGGTATTTTTTTTTTTCCATTAATTTGAAAGGGACAGCACTGTGTATGTTTATAAACTAAATGAAGATAAGATATTATTTTGTATAAACATTCATCCGAGAACAATCAGAGTGGTAGCCCCACGGTGCTGGCTCCTCCGCAGCACACACCTGGTCATCTTAATGACTGTATAAATGGAAGACTTGAAAAATCACGTGGATTCGTACCCACCACCCCTCTCGTTTCTTTGAGTCTTCTGATCAAAAAAAGCTCACACCGTATCTCCTTTCTTTTCTTTCTCTTTTCTAGAAATCAGGTGGTTGTACCAGAATGGAATTTTGCTTCTTGGTTATTCTGTGCTTCCGATGATTACACTCTAACCCAAACTAGCACGTGTTGCTGCGGTTTTGTTACGCACACCTCCCCCTTACACGTCCTGTTCAGGTTTTGGCCAATACTTGACAAGGGGTCTGGGACGAGAAGACGCACCTGTTATTAAGTGCTTCCTCCCGCCCGTTTCAGCAGCTGGCCAGGCTTTGAGTACTGCTGTTGGGAACTAAACCCAGGGGGATCCGAGGGAGCTTCATCCCGGGCGATCCCCTGAATCCTCGCGTGGCCCTTGTGTCCTCGTGCTGTGCGGGAGGAAGAAGTGGCTGTCTGACACCACGGACGTACCACCCTTTCCTCTTCCTCATGTGTGCTGTGACCTCTCAGGGCTCCCTCAGCCATTCTTTCTCTCCTTCCTGTCTTTCAGTCCTAACCACATTCAGCTAAGGTGAGGCCCGAGGGTGCTATTGAATATTGAGCCTGAGAAGAATGATCTAGACCGAAGCAAAGACAGGCGCACAAGCCTCTGCTGTAGCTTGAATGTCCTCCGTGTCTTCCCCACAGACCGACCCCCTCTGCCTCTAGAATCAGACCGGAGTCCACACCGGGGCTGTGGAAAGCACAGAGCCTCCTGGGACCCGGGAGGGAGCCAGCGGCTGAGCTCTGCCACCCGTTCATTCCTAGGTTAGCTAGAACTTCACCCCATTTCCGAGTTCTGTAGTGCATGCATGAGAGAAAAGATTTAAGGAGCTTCTTTTCAGAAAGACCAAGTGTCTGTGATTGAAGGTGGAACGTGTAGTGCCATCGGGACCGGGAGGAGAACTCTCGCACACACTGGCGCAAGCGTGGGCATGGGATTGGCTGGGACCAGAAGAGTGGCAGTGTGGTGACAGCGGGTTAGGATGCACGGCCAAATGGGTAATACCTGCGTAGAAAAGGTAGCATGTTCTTCACCCACCAACAGTGGGATCGCTGTCTCCACGATCTTAGGGCATCTGAATGTTCGATGTGGTTTTGTGTGTGTGTGTGTTGTTTTTAATGTTGAAGTGGATAATGAGATGTAAAGGAAACAATAATTATAGTGACTGATATTCAAGCCTGTCCATGTTTCTTTATCAACGTAATCTGCCAAGGACCTTCATTTCTAAGATTCAGAAATGTTTCACGGTCCTGATACGAAATAATTAAGTAAGCGAAATTGTTCATGGTGGTAAAACACCCAAGGGAATCTGGTTCGAAGAGGAGAGGGAGGGCAAGCAGAGCGTCCCCGTTCTTAGTGTGTAGCTTACGACTTATTTAATGAACGGATACCCAGCTAGGCCGAGAGCAGGCGCCCAGAGCATTATGGGTTACTTTTCCTATTTTGTCTTTTTTTAAGCCGTGACATCCCAGAGGAGGACAGCGAATTACTCCTAGATCGGCTCTTATAGAGCGGCCATAGTATTCTGTCAAAACACTTGCTTCCATTTTCAAAGATAAAAATCATTGATTACAAAATGGTGTCCGTGTTTCTTTCGCCCCTCGGCTGTCTGGGAGGCAGCCCACGCCCCTGCTGGACACAGCTGCTCCAGCTGCTGACCCAGCCAGGGGACCATTTCCTGTCTGAGGGTAAGTACAGGGGAGGCATGCGTGGGCGGCTCGGCGCAGCAGAGGGGGCAATCCAGCGGGGTCTGGCAGAACCCAGGTGCTGGTGGTTGTAAGACATGGTGCTGTTTCAGACCCCAGCAGGCCTGGGGGTTTGGATCCTGCCTCCCAGCTTTGCCAGCGGGGTGACCTGGGCACAGCTCGCGTCTCCCCACGTCTCCTCTTGGAAGGGGGATGATAATTCTGTATCGTTTCAGTGCGAAATACCCTGTCACTACAGTGAACGGCTTCCCTGGCAGGGCCTCTGACAGCGCTTTTTCTTAAGTAAAATTCTCTTGGTCCGACGGCAATTTTTATTCCAGCAAAGGGTCTTCAGGGTTAGTCGGATGCAGGAGCCCGTGTTTTAGCTCCCCCTTTTGCATAACAACATTGTCTCCGGACATCTCAGGGACAGTGGCAGTCGCGGCTGCCATTCATTTCCCACCGCTGGCCTTTCCCGAGTCTCTGTGATTAGGAGTGGTGGGCGTGGAGATCCGGCTCCTGGAACACCTTCCCCCAGAGCTGCTGTGGTCCGTCGTGAGGAGCTGCCGGGTTCCTGGCCAGCGTGGGTGCAGGAAGTGGAAGTGGGCAGACGCGCTCTGTAGACCTGCGGTCCCCACAGTTGGGGGAGGCGCACGGGGGTCTGGTTTTGACTGACTTGTTTTTGGACTTGGACCGCCTTGATCCTTTGCCAGAGTCAAGGTCACTGTGTTAGCCCCAGACAGCCAGCCAGCCAGCCTTGTCTGAGGAGAACTTCCATTTTTCTGAGGGTTACTTCCCCTGCTGTACTTACTGTTGGATCTGAGTTCAGAGAAACTTCTCATCGGCTCTGAAGAGTCTGTTAATGCCATGTGGCCCTTAACTCTCTACTGGCACGTTGACATTTCTAATGCCACCGCTGGGTCGCAGACCTCAGTCTTCCCCAAGGGGACACCTTCCTTCTACAGACACGCAGTCCTTTGTGCCTATTTATTTGTTAAAAAGGAGTCTCTCTGGGGCTGACAGGTGGCATTTCGGTTAAAGCTCTGGACTCCCACATGGGCAACTGCAGTTTGAGTCCCAGACCCGGCAGCTTAACACTCACACTGAGTGTGTGTGTGTGTGTGTGTGCGCGCGTGCGCGCATGCCTGAAATTTCTAGAGGAGAATGGAGGAGAAGGGATTGTGGCATGGCCCTCCCCCCGCCTTGGGAATGGCTTCTCACTTTCTGTCCCTCTCTGTGTCTCTGGCAAGCGCATGTGCCTGGTAGCAAAATCTCTTAAAATAAATAAATACGGAATTCCTCGGGGGGCCAGCAGGTGGCGTGGTGGTTAAAGTGCTGGACTCCCACATGGCCAACCATGATTGAGTCTCAGACTTGGCAGCTTACTTTCTTACTTTTCCTCTCTTTGTGTGTTTCTCTCTCTGGTGAGTGCATGTGCCCTGTAGCAAAATTTAAAAATAGTCACAATTAAATACTTCTTTAAAAAAAAAAAAAGGAGCTCCTCCCCTCCAAGGAATGCAAGAGTGGTGGGCCTTACTCCCCCTGGAGGGCGTGTACAAGAAGGAGCAGCCTTTCTGGGGGACAGCCTGGCAGGCTTATCAAAAGTCTTAAATGTCATACTTTTACACCCAGGATTTTCCCCTGGGAATTTGGTCCCTAGGAACTAGTAGAGAACATACTCAGAAATTAGAAGAGTCACATTGATCCAGCGGAGGCTGGTGGTTAAACGTCACGTTCTTATGGTGCAGTGCAGTGGAGGCATTCACTTAGAAAAGAGTACAGATGAAGACACACCGAAAAACCAATAGTTGGTTCAGCCTCTGTGGCAGCTAGTAGCATACGGGACTGTGTGGAACTGGAAGCCACGTGCCAACTGTGGTTCAGGTCCCCAGCCCGGGCAGCCTGAAGCATGCTGAGTGTGTTCCCAGAATCCTTGTGGACTGGAAGACGGAGGAAGGGGGTTGCAGCATGAATGTGGAAAGTACCCCAACCCCTGCATCCCCCACGTGTACTCTATCAAAACCTGATTGTGAAAATGTAGTTGCAGGGACCAGCAAATGGTGTAATGGTCTGTCATGGACCCCCACTTGGCTGCCTGTAATTCAAGCCCCAGACCTAGTACTGGCTTGAAACTCACGCTGGGTGTGTGCGCACGCATGCCCAAAATCTGGATAGGAGAATGGAGAAGGGATTGTGGCGTGGTCAATTCCTGGGGATTGAATTCCACACGGCCAATCCTGTGGTTTGGGTTCTGTACCTGGCAGCTTGGGGGCCACACTGGGTGTGTATGTGCACTCCCAAAATCCCAAAAGGAGGGAGACATGGAGGAAAAGGGATCGTGGCGTGACCACCCCTCATGGGCTGCTTTCTCACTTTAAATAAAAAAGGAATCCTTTTAAAGGATACACACACGATGTATTTGTATAGAGTAAATTCTAGAAACATTATTGCTGTAGGAAGGTAATTTCTCTTATTAGATTTTTCCAAATTTCTTAATTTACTATAAATTTTGGTCTTTTTTTGTTGTATGTATAAACCAGAGGGACCATGCATTTGCCAGAGAGAGAAAAAGCATCCTTCAATGGGGTGTGGCCATGCTGCAATGCTGTCTCCATCTCTCTGTCAGAGTTTGGGACATGTACACACATGTGCCCAGGATGTTTTTCAAGCTGCCAGAGCTGGGATTCGAAATATGATAGGCCAGGTGGGATCCAACTCCTTTAACCACTAGGAGCTAGCCTTGTTTCTGTTTCTGTGGCCTCAACTTTTCCTTTATTAAAGCCTTAATATTTTATTTTATTTTTTTTTACTTCTTTTTTTTGGGAGAAGTTTTCTTTTTGCTATAGGGTGCATGTGCTTGCCAGAAAGAGAGAAACAGTGAGGGAAAGTAAGAAATCACCCCCCAAGGGGGATGGCCACACCACAATCCCTTCTCCTCCATTCTCCTTTTGGGATCTTGGGCAAGCATGCACATGCGCCTGGCGTGAGTTTAAGCCACTGGGTCCAGGACTCAAACTGCAATCAACTACGTGGGAGTCCAGCGATATAGCCATTATGCCAAATGCTGGTCCCCAAAGCCTTATTTTTATTTTTTTTTTAAGTTGTTGCCATAGTGTGTGTGCTTGCTCACAGTGGCGAGGGTGGAGAGGGCAGACAGAGAGAGGTAAAGTGAGAAATCACCCTCCAGAGGGAATGGCCACACTTCAGTCCTGTCTACTCCATTCTCCTCCTGAGATTTGGGGCATGCACGTACATACACCCATTGTGATTTTTCAAGTCACCAGGTCCAGGACTCGAACTGTGGTCGGCCATAGGGGAGTCCAGCGCCTTCACCACCACACCTTATATAAGGCAGGAAAAGCTGTTCAGGCTGAAAGCTCAGTGTGCCTTTAGCACGGGGGATGGAATTCAGCCGTCAGGGTTTCAGCAGCCATGTCCAAGCAATAGCAATGAGGTCTGAGAACTGGGAAGTTGCCCCATAAGTAACAGGAAGTTATTGCAGATTCATTTCCACGCTGAGGTGCTATTTGGGTGGTAGGAGATAGAGAAAATCTCATGGTTACCCAGCTCCTGGACTGCCCATCACCATCCTCAAGTGCCATTGCCAAAATGACAAATGAGTTACCACCCTGGCCATTTTTCTAGAGGTGGCACAGACCCAAACCGCCACGTTAAGATGACAAGGGAGAGCCCCGGGGGGACACCTGGCATGATACCACTGTTAAAGGCCGTCGCCGGGACAGTTTTGCCCTGGTTTCTCTACCTCCAGCCACCTCGTCCCTTTGTGTTGTTTCCAGAGTGACATTTTCTTTTTTTCTTCTTTTTAATTTTAGAGATTGTTGCTATAGGGCGCATGTGCTCGTCAGAGAGACAGAAAGTGAGAAATCACCCCCCAGTGATTGGCCATGCCACACAATCCCTTGTCCATTCTCCTCTTGGAATTTTGGGCACACATGGACATGCGACTGGCGTGAGTTTTAAGCTGTCAGATCTGGGACTTGAACTGTGGTCCACTACGTGAATGTTCAGCGTCGTAACCATTACGCCATCTGCTGGTCTCCAGAATGATGTATTCTAGAACAAAATCCGTCAAGGTCTCCGAAGGAGATGCAAGTAGCCTATTCTTTGTCTGCAGGATGCAATTCATGCTCTTTGGCCCTTGCCTCCCACACCACCCAGGCTGTCCGCAGCTCACGGCGGCTCTGGCTTCCAAACACATCCACAGTCCAGTGGCTCCTCATACTTCCACTGGTGACCCCAAGGCTGTGTCCCCGTCATTTGGACAGAGCTGCTACATTAGCATTCTCCAAAGAAATGGAACCAATTAGGTGTGTGTGTGTAAGAGAGA